AGAAACGTTTCTTTTTGGGTCGAGAAAAAAATGAAGGGGAGGAAAAAAAAGGGAATAAAAATGAGAAAATGGGAGGGGGAGTGAGAATTAGAAATAGGACGGGGAATACTTAAAAAGAGAGAGAGAAAAAAAGAAAAGAAAAGTGAATAGAAGGCGTGGATATAAAGCTGGGAATAAGAAATTAAAGAAAAAAACGAACAAACAAACAAACAAAGCGTGAATAAAGAACCGGAAAAAATGAAGATTAATCAAAAGAAGGAAAAAAATATACAGCTGGGAAATGAGAACGAATAAGGCTGTGGGGAAAAAAGGAAAACAGAAAACAAAAACAAAAACAACAATAACAAAACAGAACGAAACAGAAGCGACAGAAAAAGCATGATTCCACACAACCTTTCCCGGGCGCCCTTCTGGAAGAATCATCACTCATCCTAAGCTAGGCTAGGCTGTAAGTCGCATGGGCGTGGCTCGCTATTCTTCCTCGATAACCTCCCCCCCCTCTGCCTTGGCCCTTGCCGCGGCGCCCTCAGGAAGCCACGTTTTTATTGTCGCTATTAGTTGGGTGTCGAGCAAAGCTACGTTACCTCGCTACCTTACCCTAGGAAAAGGAGGAGGAGGACGAGGAGGAGGAGGGGGAGGAAGAAGAGGAGTAGGAAGGAGGAGGGGGAGGAGGAGGAGACAGAGAAAGGAAAAGAGAGAGAGAGAGAGAGAGAGAGAGAGAGAGAGAGAGAGAGAGAGAGAGAGAGAGAGAGAGAGAGAGAGAGAGAGAGAGAGAGAGAGAAACAGACAGAGAGACAGTGAGACAGAGAAAGGAAAAGAGAGAGAGAGAGAGAGAGAGAGAGAGAGAGAGAGAGAGAGAGAGAGAGAGAGAGAGAGAGAGAGAGAGAGAGAGAGACAGACAGACAGACAGAGAGACAGTGAGACAGAGAAAGGAAAAGAGAGAGAGAGAGAGAGAACGAGAGAGAGAGAGAAAGCGAGAGGAGCCGTAGGGATAAGGCATGGGCTGAGAGACTGAGACTTTGCATATCTTTCGGGGTCCTGAGATGAGCTCCCTTTTACATTTTACACAGACTGCTTGCCTTTAGCCGGTCACAGTGATGCGATGGGACACTGCTTTACACTAGTCTGAAAAGAATTTTGCAACGAGCCTGTCTTTTGCAACCGTGCATTTAAAGCATCGCAGCTTAACTTGTACAAAATAAAAAAAATCAGATCCCAAAAATCCCTACATAAATATTTATTTCCCTAAATAACCTTCCACTTCCTTCAAAACAATAATTAAAAAATAATAATAATAATAATAATAATAATAATAATGATGAATAAAAACAAAGCCCTTTCCGTGACCAAAATAAAAGCTTGAAAATACCACGTTCTCCACATCTTACAGAAATCGACCTGGGCATAATCTAACTGCAAATAATACTTTAAAAACTATTTTTATGCTCCCCATCACCATTAACCCCGAAACAGTGATACCGCAAGTATTTCTTTTCTTTTCTTTTCTTAACTTTTTTACGAAACTCAAAATATCCCTAAGCCTACAACATTTGATCTAGGCATAATCAAAACGCAAATAACGCTTTGAAAAAAAAATTACTACATTAATACCCCACCAAACAAATCGATCTCCAGTGATACCGCCATCCCCCCCCCCCCCACTCTCTCTCTCTCTCTCTCTCTCTCTCTCACTCTCTCTCTCACTCCCTCACTCCCTCACTCCCTCTCTCCCTCACTCCCTCACTCTCTCACTCTCTCACTCCCTCACTCTCTCACTCCCTCACTCCCTCTCTCCCTCTCTCCCTCACTCCCTCACTCCCTCGCTCCCTCGCTCCCTCACTCCCTCTCCTCATATTTATCTTTCCATTTATCTTTTTTTAAACGAAATCTAAACCGCCCCTCATTCTGCCCTGCATCTCAGCCGCACAAGTGAAATGCGACGTTTCGTTCCCTCAGAGATAAGTTTGTTTTCCCCTGCCAAGTGGATTTACAACGGTTCTTTTTTTCTTTTTTTTTCTTTTTTTTTGAAAGAGGGATTGTTGTAGATCAGTTCTTTTGCATTTATTCATGAGCGCGTAAGTGATATTACGCCGGTAGGTCTTCCTATGGTAATGATTAAGCATATTTTTAAGTTAACATATAGTACGTACACACACACGCATACAAATAAATGAATAATTAAATAAATTATATGCATGTATATAAGTGTACATATGTATGTATATACATATGTATATATACATATGTATATATAAACATGTGTGTGTGTGTGTGTGTGTGTGTGTGTGTGCGCACACACACACACACACACACACACACACACACACACACACACACACACACACACACACACACACACACACACACACACACACACACACACACACATGTGTATGCGTTTGTATATATATATGTAGATATATATACACATATATATATATATATATATATATATATATATATATATATATATATATATAAATATATATATATATATATA